TATTATTTCTGGTTGCAAAATAAAATCCGGGGCCCGCCGTGTGAGACATCTTTAGGAAACGCTGGCCAGCTTTAGTCGATAGGCAGGTTGGTTGGTTGGTTGCCTTCCCGAGTGGCTGGTTGGCTGGTTGGTTGATCGGTTGGTTGTCCGGTTATTTGGTTGGTTGGTTGGCCGGTTGATTGGCTGGTTGGTTGTTAGGGTAGCCCGTTCATCGGCAAGTCGCGTGCTCACCCAACGGGATCGAGCCATGACTATCCCACGTTTAGCTACACATTGAAGCGCACGCGTCGACGAGCGGGGTCCGAAGACAGCGTCTGCCGTGCATGTTTTGAAGGTTTGAGGAGTCCACCCCGCAAAAACGCCGCAAGCCGCACGTCGCGTCGCACCAGGGAGGGTAAACCCACCCTGGTGCGACGCGACGGGACTCCGAGCAGTCCGAGCGCAGCGCTCAATAAAAATCAGGGCGCCTCTTTGTGGCCACGCTGCCCCTGCCGCCCCCGCGGTCCTGTGGGAGCGGGCGCTTCGCCCCTGCTTCTCCCGGGAGTGGCCGCGGGCCGCGGGAGCTACGCCGTGTCGTCGTCGTCGTCGTCCTCGTCGTCGTCGTCGTCGTCGTCGTCGCCGTCGCCGTCGCCGTCGCCGTCGCCGTCGCCGTCGCCGTCGCCGTCGCCGTCGCCGTCGTCGTCGCCGTCGCCGTCGTCGTCGTCGTCGTCGTCGTCGTCGTCGTCGTCGTCGTCGTCGTCGTCGTCGTGGGGAGAGAGAGAGAGAGAGAGACAGAGAGGAAGAGTGAGAGAAGCAGGGAAAGGCGAACGCATACTATCCCACATTGTTGTCCACATGGCAACGTATGCGTCGGCGCATGACTGCTGGGGCTGGCGTCTGGGGGCCACGATCCGGGAGAGACGGAGTGCCCGCGCCCGCAGCTTGCCGTCTTACGTCCAGGGATTCGGGCTGAGAGCTGACGTCCACCAGCACATTTCTTGGATGCTCGTTCTCGGGACTTGCCTGGGGCCCACCTAGACGGATCTGTCTGACGCTAGTTCGAGTCCCTAGTCCGACGCCAGTTCGACTCAAGTTTGATCCAGGTTCGACTCAGGATCGACTCAGGTTCGACTCAAGTTCGAGTCGAGCCGACGGACGTTCGACGCAGCTTCGACGCACGAGTCCAGCTAGTAGCTCCAGGAAGGTTCCCAGAATGAGCATGTAACATGTCGGCGCACGTCTCAGACGGATCGGAACGTAGGAGGCCCGGAGAGGTTTTTGTCCCAATGTTTTCATACGACCAATTGATACACCCAAGGATTCAAAACCTCCAGTCCCTCCCGCCCTCCCGTCTGGGGCGCCCTGTACACCCCCTGCTCGCCTCGCTCGTTCTGCTCCGCCCCGTCAGCGCAGACCCCCTCAGCAAGATCGCCTCGCGCCACGTTCTCTTTCCCAGCGCTCGGGGTGGTAGGAGACTGTTTTTTCAAGGGTCCGGCGATCACCTGGGTTATCGGGCCAGCCCGCCTCCCTTCCCCTCCCCAAGATAATTTGACCTTGTCCGTTGCGCAGGTCCAAACGGGGTGCGCAGTACTGGTGCGCGCGAGCATACGCTGGGCTGCCTAAAGCGAAAAGGTTCGGTTATCGGCTGGCCCCTTCCCCCGCCCCCCGACCAGAAAACTTGGGCTATCGCCGAAAATGAATAACCGGTCTCTCGCGTGCCAACTGTCAGCTCGGTGGCTTGTGCCGTTTGGCCTGTCGTCGCTCACGTTCCGGGGCGGGGACCTCGCGTAGGGCGGCGTGCGCTGGTCTTTCGAGTGGGCGGCCTCGTGGCCTCTTGTGCCGTGGCTCGTGTCACCCCGCGGCCTTGAGGACTCCGGTGGCCCGTGGCCCTCTTTCGGGCGGGCGGCAGCGGCGGGGCAATACACGCGGGGGTGGGGCGGAGGAGTGCAGGAAAGTGGCCCCAGGGGGTCCCAAAGTGCCACCGTGGGCCCAAAAGGTGCACGAAAGGCGCACGTTTTTGCACCCCCTGTTGATTGCCCCCGTTAGCGAAAACCCGACTGTCGTGGCTTCTGTCCCCTGAGTGGCCATCCTGGGGAAGGCGGGCGCCCACTCTCTGATTCGGTATCTCGTGGCCTGTGGCCCGTGCCCGCGCGTGACTCTCTCGCGAGGGGCGCGCGTCGATCTTTGATCTGGCGGCTCGTGGTCTGCGGCCTCGCGTGGCTCGCGGCCTCACCGTGGCCGAGTCGTGGGTCCTGCGCGCGTCAGCTTTGCATCTGGCGGCCCGTGGGCTTTCGGCATCTCGTGCCGCGTGGGCATCTCCCGCACCCTGGCAGGGTCGCAATGAGCAGCTCATTGGCCGCCACTTCTCGTGACTCCTGCCTTGGAGCCCAGGCCGCCACACCAGCGTGACGGCCTGCATGTTCTGAGCGCCCCGCCTGCCCGCCTCGTCATCCCCCACCTCCTTGACGAGCACGTGCCGCTTCGCAGCCCGACTTGGGCCCTGTTGCAGTGAGCGATCGCCAGCGCCACGCCAAAACAATTCGTGGTCCTTTCATGTCCCCGTCGCACAATATCGTGATAATTTCGTCTGTAAGCAGGTGAACCTCGCCACGCCGATTCCGTGGGGCAAAGCTGCTAGCCGATGCCCTGCCATGTCACGTGGCGCTTTTACGACGCGCATCACCCGCGCATCGATGATGATATTTTGAACCGTGGCCTCAACTCCATTCGTAGGTGAGCCTTCCGTGGGGAGTTCCCAGAAGTGCACTTGCGCAAGGGCGCCGCGAGGGTCCACGTCCCAATGATTGGTTTCCCCGCCGCGCCAGCGCGGCACTCTGTGTTGCGACCCCTTGGGAACCCTGTAGAACTTGACATGTGACAGTGCTCGTCCCTTGCTGCTGTACGGAATCACATGTGACACGCTTTCTTGCAGGCTCCGCAAGGCCGCACTTGTTATCTTTACCGAAGACGTCTGCGACGAACCACCGCCACCCCTGGCCAAGCTATTGGACGACGTGTCTCCCCAACCATTGTGGAAACCCTTGGAGGAAGATTTTAAACTTCTTGGGGGCGTTTGAAAGGGCTCTCTGGAGCTTGCCCTTTGCTCATCCTGCCACAGTGCTTGTGTCGTGGTCCAGGGGCCGTTTGAACGCTTCTTTGGGGGCAACTTATTTGGGGCATCTTGGGGGCTTCTGTGGGCTTTCCGGAAGCCTCAGGAGGCCTTTTTGGCCCTCTGGGGCCTTTGAGGGATCTTGAGTTCTGGCGGTAGCACGCTCTTCAGGTCCGCCTTGGGACCGTCTTGGAGAAGACTTCATGGCCTCCTATTGAGATGGCCTTGAGAGCCGTATCGTGGCGGTCTCGGGGTTTATGTGGCCGTTTCGGACATTATCACGCTCGAAGAGTTTAGAATTCTAGAAGAGCGTTATCTGTTGCCGCTTGGAGGAGGGGGGTTCGAACCGCCCCCCCCCCAGATGCAAGGGGGGGAGGGGGGGAGTTCCCTTCGTTCCAGAGGGGGATTCGACCCCCCCTCCTTATTCGACGCCGACGACGGCGATAACGACGACAACGACGACGATGACGACGACGGCGATGACCACGACGACGGGGGCGGCGGCGACGACGACGATGATGGCGACGGTCAAGAACGACGGCGACGGTGGCGACGACGACAACGAACGACGGCGACGACGACGATGACGATGATGACGACGACGACGACGATGGCGACGGCGAGGACGAGCCTCGCCGACGGCGACGGCGAACGGCGAACGGTGAAGGAGGACGATGACGACGACGACGATGACGACGACTACGACGACGCCGCCCCACACCCATTGCCCGCCGCCGGTAAACGATGACGGTGGGCGCTGGCGTCAGCAAGCAACCACGACGACCACGGCACACGACGACGGGCTCTCGTGTGCCAACTCGATTTTGCACAATACTTGGGTGTCCCGCCTTGGTGACTCGACCCGCCCGTTAGGGTCCGCCCGCCCGGGCCGACCCGCTCGTTGGGGTCCGCCCGCCTGCCTGCCAGGGTCGTCGTCGCCGTCGCCGCCGTCGTCGTCGTCGTCGTCGTCGTCGTCGTCGTCGTCGGCGTCGGTCTGCCGTTGGTCGTCGTTTGTCGTCGTCGTCTGTCGTCGTCGTCGGCGTCGGTCGTCGTCCGTCGTCGTCGTCGCCGCGGTCGTCGTGGTCATCGCCGTCGTCGTCATCATTGTCGTCGTGGTTGTCGTCATTGTCGTCGTTGGGGTCGTTGTCGTCATTGTCGTCGTCGTCGTCGTCGGTCTGCCGTTTGTCGTCGTCTGTCGTTGTCGTCTGTCGTCTGTCGTCGTCGTCGGCGTCGGTCGTCGTCCGTCGTCGTCGTCGTCGTCGTTGTCGTCGTCGTCGGTCTGCCGTTGGTCGTCGTCTGTCGTCGTCGTCTGTCGTCGTCGTCTGTCGTCGTCGTCTGTCGTCGTCGTTGTCGGCGACAGTCGTCGTCCGTCGTCGTCGTCGTCGTTGCGGTCGTCGTCTTCGTCGTCGTCGTCGTCGTCGTCGTCGTGGTCGTGGTCGTCGGTCGTCGACCGTCGGTTGTCGGTCGTCGATCGTCTGGTCGTCGGTTGTCAGTCGTCGGTCGTTGGTCGTCGTCGCCGCTCGTCGTCGGTCGTTGTTTGCCCGCGCCCGCCGTCGTCCGCCGTCGTCGTCTGCCGGCGGCAAGTAGGGGGGGGATTCGAACGACCTCCCCCCGTTGGAGTCTACGGGTGGGGGGTGCGGGGAGGGATTCTAGTGGGGGGGTAGGGCAGTGGGGGTGGATAGGGCGGAGGGGAGTCCCTCCCGTTTTTCCGGGCGCGCGGGATGTCGGGGGGGGGAGCCCCCCCTTGGTTCCGACGTGTCGTGGGATGTTCCCAAGGCAAGCGCCCGTGAAACGCGCTCCCTCGAATGCTAGAATCACGCTAAGGTTTGCGGTGCTTGGGAAATGTTGACCTCTTTGGTTTGCCCGCGGGCCTCAAAGAACTCCCAAAAAGCCGCCAAGATGGCTTCTGTAGCCATTGGCTCAAGATGGCTTGATGTCGAATCAACTGGTATTGCAATGGAAGTCTGTGACACGTCTGCCCTCCTTGATGCGTCCGGGGCGCAATCGCGTGGTGCATCTCCAGAGTTTTTGGGCGAGGACGTTATTCGAGGGCCTCTTCAGGCCGCACAACATGATCTAATGGGAATCGTTGTTCCAGATTGTGACTTCCAATCGTCGGAGTATCCTGCGAGCCCGTCGCGAAAGACACAGGTTTGCAGAGATCCTAGAAGCTGGGCGTACACAGCACACTTGGATAGTCTATTCAAAAAGCAGTGCATCGTTGATATCATGCGCTTGTCCTTGTTTTGCCATCCTAGGGAGATGAGCATCAGTTATGGGGCAATAGCAGCAGCTTGCCGAAATCGTGAGATTGGACCCAAGGCGGACAAAGCCGACGGTGTGCTGTGCTTGACATTAGGTGATGGTTCGGCACCCCGTACAGCCGGGCTGGCAGCGTTCATCACATCTTGGACTTGCATATCAATCGACCCAGCGCTTGGCTCAGAATGGGCAGGTGCTACTCCGAAAAGCATTCGAAGATTACATGGCTTTGTGGGATCATTGGAGCAGTTTGTTCTTGAGAAGCTCCAAGAAGCTACAGCACTTGCATGCGGAGAAAAGAGTCGGTTGCACTTGGTGATTCTGTGTACTCATTCTCATTGTCGCTTTGCTGGCATAGCCGCAATTGGAGCTATACGTCGTGGCCTCGGTTTCCCACCAACAACATTGGTTTCTTTGCCGTGTTGTCATGTGTCAGATCTGGACATCGACTTGGGGCGCCTTCCAGACGTATCCTTTGAAGACTTGGCTTTGTTTTCAACGAGCCGGACGGTGAGCGTCTGGGTTTGGGGCTCTGGGCCTCCATTAGATGTTGTCGAGCACGCCGAATATTCGAGATTTGCTTGCACAGAGTGCGCTCCTGAGCAGTCTAGCTCTTTTTCCTTGTCCCTGCGCGGAAGCAGGAACCGCATTCATGCTCAGAATTGGGGATACACAGATTACTTAGATAGCTTGTTTGACATGCCATGCTTGTTTGAGCTCATGGTTTTGCGCGTCTTCTTGGATGCGAAAGACATGAGCGAAAGCTTTGCGGCGATCACAGCAATCTCCAAGTACTCTGAAATGGGGCCCGATGCGACCGTCACTGAAGGTGTTCTGTGTTTGGCAGTTGGCGATGGCTCGACACCTCGTACAGCGGGACTTGCAGCATTCATCACCCGTTGGACTTGCGTGTCAATCGACCCATCTCTCCGGTCGGAATGGACGGGTACCAATCCAAAACAGGTTGAGCGCTTGTTTGGCTTCGCTGGAAAATTTGAGGAGTGGGTGCCAGAAAAGCTTCAAGAAGCTGCTTCGCTTGCGCGTGGGAACAGCGCTTTAAAGCATTTGGTAATTCTCTGCGTCCACTCGCATAATCGTTTCACTGGTGCGGCCGACATCACTACAATACGTGACTGCCTTGGCAATCCGCCAACCACACTCGTTTCAATACCATGCTGCCATTTGTCTAACCCACAAACGGATTTGAAGCGACTACCAGACGCATCGTTTGAAGATTTTGCAATGTTTTCGATGTGCCGCACGGTGAACATTTGGGCTTGGAATTCGGACCATTTGTTACGTCAGCGGAACGGCGCTACCGTTGCACCCGAAATCTTGTTGTCGGGATGTGATCCCACATCGCGCATTGCCCGAGGACTATCCAAATGGCAAGCTACTCACCAGCCTCATACAACAGCGGTTGGTTCACTTTCTAGAGTGGCACGCCAGAAAGCCAACCGTGCCGCACGTCTCGCAACAAACTCCTGAGCCATATTTGGTTTAGTGTTTGCCCCCTTCATAAGAAAGTACGCTGGCTCGTTTCTTATAGTTTGATGTATGTTGCAGTGCGATTGAAAGTTGACATTTGCTGACGTTATTTGGAAGGTCGTGCCGAGATCATGTCGTCCATCACACTTGTAGATACATATGCTGAGTTAGAATAGCTAATCCCAAACTGTGATCATAACATGTTCGCTGTTTCGCCACATGATGTCATGCCATCTTGATAGGAGTGGTGTTTTCTAATGATGTTAATGTTTTAACGACTTTTCTGGATCGAAGACGCCTACGGCGAATCACCGTCGACCCCTGCCTTTCTGGAAGCGTCTGCGTGGCCGAAAGTTTGGTTTGAGCTTGGCCAAGCTATCGGGTCACGCGTTCCCAGGGTGGGTTTCGAAGGCTTTCGGGGAACACGGGGTCGGGCGAGCTATCGGACCAGGTGGTTTCCGAGCTTTCGGGTTTCCCGGAGGACGTCTTGGAGGGCTCTTCGGCCGTCTTGGAGGCCTCTCGCGGGCCGTTTGGGCCGTCTTAGGCCATCCTGAGGCCGTCTTGGGCAGTCTTGGGCGCATCTTGGGGCCATCTTCGCCGTCTTGGAGGCCTCCTTGGCCGTTTTGGAGGCATCTTGAAGGTCATCTTGGCCGTCTGGAGGCCATTTTGACCCTTTCGGGCCTTCCTGGGGGGCGTCTCGGAGGGCTCTTGGGCCGCCTTGGAGGCCTCTTGCGGGCCTTTTGGGCAGTCTAAGGCCATCTTGAGGCCATCTGGGGCCGTCTTGGGTGCATCTTGGGGCCATCCTCGCTGTCTTGGAGGCTTTCTTGGCCGCCTTGGAGGCATCTTTGGATGCCATCTTGGCCGTCTTGGAGGCCATCTTCGGCGTCGTCTTGGGCCGTCTTGGGCTCTTCTTGGGGCCCTCTTGGGGGCCTCTTGGGCTGTCATGGCGCCATCTTGGATGCCTCTTGGGCGCTCTTGGGGCGATGTTGGGGGCCTCTTGGGCCGTGTTGGGCCGTCTGAGAGCTGAAGAGAAGAAAATGCAAACATCTCCCAGCCAACTAAGGACGATCACCGATTTTTGCCCTTTCGGGCCTTCCTGGAGGACGTCTTGGAGCGCTCTTGGGCCGTCTTGGAGGCCCCTTCTGGGCCTCTTGGGCCGGCTTAGACCATCTGGAGGCCACCTGGGGCCGTCGTGGGTGCATCTTGGGACCATCTTAGCCGTCTTGGAGGCCATTTTGGCCGTCTCTGAGGCATCTTGGAGGCCATCCTGGGCCTTCTTGGCCGTCTTGGAGGCCATCGTGGGCCATCCTGGAGAAAGAAAGGCATGGGCCCAAGAGAGCTCGGAAAGGGCCCTAAGATTACATATGACGGGGAATGCTGGATAGGATTTCGGGCCACCCGTCTCCAGCATTGCCTTAAGAGCACCTCTGGGCCCCTTGAAGCGCCTCCAGGAGGCCGCAATCTGCTTCCAAGACGCCCCACAAAGCCCCCACGATGCTTCCGAGAGCCTCCCTGGAGTCCCCACCCCTGCCAAGATGCGCCCGAGAGCCACCTAGGAGGCCCCTGAGAAGCATCCCAGGAAACCATCGCATTCGTCCAAGAAGCTCCTGACCCACGGGGCCCAGGCACGATGGTAGGGCCGATCGCCATCATAATACCCACACAAATGTCGCACGCCCTCAGCACATCAAGAGGTCGGCGGGATGGTGTGAGCCACTGGAGTCGCTTCCCTGGGGGCCTCGTAGGATGCTGGTGTCTAGGACGTTATGGGGGACTCATGTGTCCTCTGGGGTGTGGGTGTGGGCCTCCTATGGTGGTGTTCACTTTGACCGTCTTGAAGCTGTCCTCTCCACGGCTCGTGCAAACATCCCACCCTCCCACCCGCAACTTGGTCGCAGGACCTCTTAAGACAAGACCGTGACGGTAGGTACCACATGGCACTTGGTCACGACACCGACGCCGACGACGACAGCGACAGTGACGACGACGGCGCCGCCGACACCGACTACGACGACACCGACGACGTCTCCAACGACTTCGACGACGACAACGACGGCGACGACACCGACGACGACGACGCCGACGACGACGACGATGACGACGACGCCGACGACGACGACGACGAAGACAACGACGACGATGACAACGACGTCGCCAACGAAGACGACGACGAGGGAGGAGGGAAGACGACGACGGCGACAACGACGACAACGACGACAACGACGAGGGAGGGGAGGACGGCGACAACGGGAACGACGAAGAAGGATGAAAGACGGCGACGCCGACGACGACAACGACGAGGGAGGAGGGAAGACGACGACGACAACGACGCCGACGACGACGACGGCGACGAAATAGGAGGGACGACGACGAGACGCCGACGACGGACGACGACGACGACGACGAGGGAGGAGGAGGAAGGACGACCACAGCGACAACGACGACGGAAACGACCACGACGCCAAAGAGGACGACGACGACGACGAACACGAGGAACGACAGAGGACGACGTAGGCGACGACGACGACGCGGGAGGAGGGAGGACGGCGACGACGACGACGACGCAAGATCGCGCGCGCACGCTTTTGTTGAACATCCGTGTTGCGAAACCTAGTGTTTTTGTTTGGGCACACGATTTGGATTCCCTTCCGAAACCGATGGTTTTGAAGGATTTCAGCATACGCGCGCGACGACGCGCGCGTCTGCACTTCGTCCCATTCTTTGCAGAGGATTCTCGCGACGGCACGCGCGCAAGGGCGTTTGACAGATTCCGACATGCGCGCGCGAAGCCCGTTTGGTAGCATTTTGTGAACATCTTGGAAAACCTATGGTGTTCTTAAGATTTCGCAAGAGCTCGCGCGTAAGTTTTTTTGGCAACTCAGTGTTGCGAAACTCGGTGGTTTTTATGTTTTTCCCAACCATCCTGTGGTGTTGGGTCCTCGTTTTGAAGAGACGGCGCCCCGCGTTCCTCACCTCCTCCTCCTCCTCCTCCTCCTCCATCATCATCATCATCATCATCATCATCATCATCATCATCATCATCATCATCATCATCATCATCATCATCATCATCATCATCATCATCATCATCATCATCATCATCATCATCATCATCATCATCATCATCATCATCATCATCATCATCATCATCATCATCATCACCACCGATTTCGGCACACCCCTCACACGTTTTGTGGCCCCATAGGGAGCTCCACCGAAGGCCCCAGTGGCAGGGTCCGCATGCCTCCCCACCACCCATTTCGGCACACCCCTCACACGTTTCGTGGCCGGAGTTGGCCGATGTTCGAGGAGTTGGGGGAGTTGGGTCGG